AAAATATTTAAGGGTGGCTCACATACAACAGATATAGTTTTTTTTGCCGTTTATAATGATACGGAACCGTGCGCGAGTCCGACTCGCACTTGGCCGATTTTTTATAGAACATTTTTTCACATCATATCCGTCCACGCATTGTCGAAATTCGAAATGAACTTGAGAAAAAAAAGTGTCGAACAGTATGCCAGTCAACGATGATGGTATGAAACTCCCGGATACATAATAATAAAGGATGGACGAGGCATTTAGGCATCGAGGTTTTAACGGTAGCTGTCCATTTAGTAAGGGCACTACTCCACTGCCAATTGGGAGACATAAAATTTAAAGCGATTTAAATTGTTTGTACAGTTAGATTAAGTTAATATTTTTCTGCATGTGAGCATAATTTTAAGCTATTTGTGAAATAGACATATCTCGGAGATCTAGTTCTAGATTTTTTAGCAATTAAACTATAAGCTCCAATGATAATCGCATGAGATTTCGTGGAATTATTAGTCAAATCAATTTCCAATTTGAAATACTTACATGTCAAATCAGCGTATAGATAGGTTTTCAGGAGAAGATTTGTAATAAATCTGTACTTGAGATCGTCGCTGCCAAAATGGTTTGTTTAATAGAAAAAAAATCAAAGAACTTTTTCGCTTTTGAAATGTTAAATAACATTACGGAATAGATAATCGGTAAAAAATAACTTGTCAAGAACCATCAGATCTATAGGAATTATCGGTTGTATTTTTTTTGTATTTTTAAATATTCATTGTGAAAAGTTTTAGACATCACCACGAAGTTATCAATGTGTTATCACCCTATAAACTGCTGTAATGCTTATAGAATGTCGTTCCCCAACACAGAATACAGGATGTATTAAATTAAAGCGACCAAAGCCGTTGAGATTAGCAAGGAAATGTCAATATGTTAGTGTGAAATATGTCGATGGACGAGCGACTCGTGGAATGAATAGTTAATGCTTGTTTTATTGAGGTGATGTTTATTGAATAATAAAATTTTATAATCTGTGTCGTAACGCAACTATATTAACGAATGGTCGCTTGGGAAGTATTCGTCGTTGCAGCCAAACCTGTTATATCTGAACATGTTTTTTTACATGAGATCGGGTGAAAAAGTAATATGTTAATTTTTTTAGCGGCTTCCTGTCTCCGGTACACTGATTATTTAAAAGATTTTTACTTGGTTTTTTTAATCAGTGCCCGTTTTGCGGAGGCTCTACGAACACGCTTATCCGGAATCATTATTCGTTTGTCACACAACCTTATCTCGCGTGGGAATTGCAAATCAAGAATTTATTCATAATAATAGGTCATTATAAACGTCGGTCACTTGATTTATTGTTTAAATTTGTTTTTCGTCGTTTATCTTCATGTAGATTATCCACTGGTGAACTTTTGTTATGTTATTCAGGACTTTTGGGCTCCTTGGCTCTAGCGACAAGGAAATATAATTTATTATTGGCTGAAAAGGGCTTGAAAAAGACTAAAAATTTTGTGACAGTTTTATCTACCATTTTAGTTACAATTAAAATGATCTTAAAAATGTGTATCCGTACTGTACGGAACGAATTCAACGGAAAAATTTTGTCCACGCACTGAAATACTATAATTGAAAAGAATTCTTTCTGTTCATAATTTTTTATTTAATAGATTTCTAAAGAACTGAATTATGGGACACAAAATTTAAAACTACTGTCATGACTTTGGTCACTTTTCATATTTTAAAAATAAAATATTAATCCTCTTTAACATTCCTACCTGCTTCAGATTTGACAAATCATCTAACAATTACCTGTTGGTGCGTTAACAATAACTGTCAAGAAAAAATTGGACACATCTTTTAGATAACATCTTATTCTGAAAGGGGAATGATAAAGGAAAATAATAACTACGAAACGGCCACATTTAAAGAATTTTTTACCATGTATTTTTTTTACAAAAATAACGCCATTAATCTCAAATGTCGTTTCCAAAATATATTAACAATGTTCGAATTTTAGTTATATGCATACAACTTGGTAAAATATTTTATTAAAAATGTATTATACCTACGCATTTGTTAGTTACTCAACTAAATTGCAATGGTAGACCTAAACCGGAAGTTCACTCCTCTATATTACTCGACTCACTCCACTTAACAAATATTTGTTAACTGGAACCATTAACGATAGCTTTTTCTTGTTGTTTTTTCGATGATACTTGGAAATTAAGTCACAGACTAGAATAATGGCTAGAAAAATATAATATTTTTCATAACATCCATTCTCTGAACCGTCGAAATGGTATAAATGAATGTTATTGTAGGTTTATTGTTGTTCAGACATTTCAATAATATATTGTTTTTAATTAGTTCTAGTTTTTATACATTCTATTATAATATATGACATTCGATTAGTTTTATTAAAAAATAATATTGTTTCATATTGGGATTATGGGTATTGTCAACTAATTTAAATACAAATGCTTTAAAAGCACATATCATTGAGTAATTATTATTTTTTTATCATTTCTGCATCTAATAGCGGCATGTCAACTAATACCAAAAATATTTGTAATGTTTTATGATTACTAAACCTACTAAGTAAACTTCAACATTAGAATATCAAAACCAGAAATATCCCAGATTTCACTAAACTGTGGGAATAAAGAACCATTTTTGGATATCATTCTATATTTTTGAAAGCAAAAAGGCGGCCTTTACGCAGGACCGTTGCCCACTACGCAAATAGATTTATAGCCTCGTAGCAGTCTATTACGACGCCCACGTTATTTAAAACAATTTGAGCGCAGTGCGAACGAACACAATTTCGGGCAATGCCGGTTAAGTTAAGAACCGGAAAATTAGGTTGAGTTATGCATCTATTACGTAGAGTTCTTATGAACCTTTTGTATTCACATCATATTATCATAGTTCAGTGAACTGGCTGTTTTTCTTATATATAAAAATTTAGTTCCCATACATTTGTTTCTCACAAAACTCAAAAACTAGTCGATGGATTGGCTTAATATTAACATAGCTACTGAACAGGAGACTGTTTTGATATAGTTTTATTCCGAAGTTCTAATGTAAAAGAAAAGAAAAAACCCACAGCGAAGCGTGGGTTCAGCTAGTAATTAATAGAAAGAAATTAATATTGTTAATAGGTACTCTAAAAATTAACTGTTGTTTTTGCCAAATTCCATTATAATGATTATTCATAGGAAAGAAGACTGCCTTCTTTCTTTCTCCGGTCCATATCCCATCTTTGTAGGGTCGGCAATACATGTTTCATGTTGTTAAAGATTTTTTTGATTTGATTTGACTGGGTTTTACAGTTTTATAGGCCGTCTGCCTAACTTCAACCCTCCTTGAGAATATACATCCAAATCTTATATATAAAAATGGATTGCTGTTTGTTAGTCTCGCTAAAACTCGAGAACGGCTGGACCGATTTGGCTAATTTTAGTTTTGTTATATTCGTGGCAGTCCAGGGAAGGTTTAAACGATGGGAAATTATGGAAAAATTGCATGGAAGATCGAAATAGCGTCAATTTTATTTTCCCATACAAACTGTACCTGTCAACCTGTCAAACGATTTTTGAACGCGTTCCGATTCCTCTAGAAATAATTTATATGGCAAAACAACGTTTGCCGGGTCGGCTAGTTCTGAATAATTATCTGATCAAATTCTTGTTCCGCGTGGCGCTGAGGTTCGAACCCGCGATCCGCGCCACTGAATCCTTAACCGCTTGGCATCGGCGCCACCGAAACATGGATACACGGCAATCAACCAGCCTAATTCACCTTCCAATTAACGTATATTATCTATGGCGTCGTAGCCGACTGAATGACATTCGGCCGTTCAATAGAACAGCTGGGTGAACGACTTGGTTCAATAACGTTTAACGACTTGCTTTGCTAATTGAGCTTTGTTACGACACATGCGCTATTAGAAACAGAATTATTAACCTGTAATCCTCTGATCTAATTTTTAAAATTTACTATTACTTCGGTAAGTACTAGTATACTAATATTTACATATACAAGTAAAAAACCAATATCTTAATCGATGAAAAAATCATATCCAAATGCGGGATCTCTTTGTGATCGTCGCATGTGTACAAAGAGTTTTATTGGTGTTTATTTGACCTTTATTTTTTTTTTTGTTGTAAAGTTATTTGAAACGCTATTGACTGTAAACGTAGGATCATGTGATTCACTTTGCCGCCATTTAGTATTATAGATCATCGTAATGACACTGATCTTTTGATGTATGTATTTGTTCAAACCATGCGTGAAAAAACAATTTGATAGTGTTAAGAACTTTGCTTGTAAAAATGGTGCATCGTCAGTTACTGTTTTGCTGATTGCAATGAATGAGATTAAAAGAGCAGGAATACAAAGCAGTCCTCTAGATTTGATAATTCCTAATACTAGTGAATAATGAAAAAAATACGGACGCTTGTATGGAAATCCGCCATTTTTAATGTACAGTTTTTTCATATTGATCATATCTGCTGATATTCATATCGACAAACATACACATAAAATTCAAAACTCCACTGTCATCTGTCACTGTATCTGATATTAAAAATATAGGGTACATAAATATAAGGAATATTGGAAATATCAGATATTTTTGCAGTTACCATGTTTTTTTTATGTGAAAAGTTGCCAAGCGATCAGATGGTTCACCTGATGTTAAGTGAATACCGCCGCCCATGGACATCTGCCACACTCGAAAGTTCCAGATGCGTTGGCAACCTTTTGAAAATTGGGCTCCGGCCACCTCACTCACCAGACGAAACGCGAAAGTGTTATACTTCCACTTTACGCCGGTCTTCTATGAGGTCGTGGTACTTACCTGGACGAGCCTGCCCATTCGTGCAATAGCCGAGGCTGCTGCAGTTTGCAGAAGAAAATTAATGTCTTGTACATAAAGATCATTTGTCCCTGCGTTCCGACTTTTATGCATTATGTAATGTATTTTTCTTATTTCAGAGTTCAAAATGGGGGCGTTTCTGCTGCTCCAGATTGTTCTCGGAGTTATACTGCCAGCTGCTGCCAGTGAGTATACTATGTAATAGAATATCGTGGCTATTGCAAAAATTTGAATATCTGTTACAAGTAAAGTTGGTCGACGGGTGAGCGGTTCAGCTGATGGTTAGTGATCATGTAAGATGGTTGGTGATAATATGTGACTGTAAATAGGTGCTCTCCTATTAAGGGATTTTCACTGTTCAGTCTAGTTTTGTAAACTCATCAAACATGTATAACGAGTTTTTAATTGCGGTTCCACCATAGATATATATTTCATGAAATTCCATGCAGACAGATACTATAACAATCTAAATTAAACATCGAACTGTATTTAATTAATATTCAGAAGTACGCATCAATTTTTATATTCTTTTTATCATTGAATTAAGGTTGTATTAAACATGGTATATATATATATATATATATATATATATACATATATATTATATTTAAATAACGTTCAAAGATATAATGAATGAATTTATATTTTGTTTTTTATCGTTGAATTCAGGTTGTATTAAAACCTCGTATTTCATTCGTGGCAGAGTTTTGTTGCTGTACTAAATGTGAGTGGTTAGTTCGGATGGGCAAGAAGAAAGTTGTATCGTTGGCTCATACTTATAGCTATGTTCATTCGAGTTATATTCAGCAGCTATGTTCGTTCGACGGACGATTGCACTCCAAAAGCAATAACCGGTACGGAGACATACATGACTGTCTTCACAGATGACAGGATGCGGGTCAAGTACAGATAAAACAAGCACTGACTACATGCCAGTGCTTGTTTTATCTGTACTTTAAATCTCGTTGTCTCCGTTGTCAAATTTGAAAAGGCGCATTAAATAACTAATAATTGTTTCAAAACATTCATTATGGCGCGGCGTCTGGCAATACTGCAACTACTGCTTAATGTCAGTGCTTGTGCCGCTATATTTTAGGAACGCCGAAATTAGCGTATTGTAAAAATTATTATAGACTTATAAATTTTAAAGTTTTTCATAGTGCTAATCCCTGCCCTTAAGATTGAACATTAAAACATGTAGAAAAAGTACGAAAAGATTGTCGCCGCTGTGGGAATCGAACCACGAATCTCAGGCCGCGAATGGCGAAGACGTGGGTTCGATTCCCACAGCGGCGACAATCTTTTCGTACTTTTTCTACATGTTTTAATAGTATAGACTTAGTTGAACTATTGGTTGAACTAGTAGTTCATTTTTTTTAAAGATAAGTGTGTTATTTATTTGTATATATGTGCCTGATTACTGTCAGTGTGAGTTGTGGTGCTATTTATTAACAATCACTTGTATGAACGTGCGCCTTCCATGTTTATTTGCGTTCACTAGATGACCCATTATTACTAGCTTTTTAATAGAGTAAAACAAAAAAAAAATATCGTATACGTAATAATTTAACTCGGTATTAAAATATTTCTACGAACCCCAGGCTTATTTTTGAATTCTTTTTTCATTCGTTCTCAGAAATCACACTTTGTACGAATTTCAAAAAGAAACTGGTCTGCTTAATCATTAAAATTAATTGCTGTCGCTATTATTATACACATTTTTAATCCCCCGACAAATTGAAAATGCTCTTCTCTTTCTGTGGGACAACAAGCGGGCCGGTAGTAGTCAACTGTCCATCCAATGTGAGTTTCATGGAATAACGTATCCAATACGAGTTGTGTATTGAACGTTTCGTAGAGCTTACCTGTGTGGACCGTGATGTATTACGTGTGAATTGGTCAGGCCGTCGTATGTTTGTTGCTCTCTATTTTCGATTTGTAACCAGCGTGACGGGTGCTCCCGGCGGATACGACAGGTAGCCACTCACACATTGACGGGGACCTTTATTGCTGGTAAATAAAAAAAATGCGGTCTAATACGGTAGCGTGAGTTTGGAGGTGCACCGGTATAAGATTCAGAAATTTCTGTGATTAGCATCGAAGATAGTTTCTTAGAAAGTTTGCGTTTAATAAATTGAAATTTAATTTTTTTTATTTATAAAATGGCAAAGTCCCAGATTCGATTTAGGTTTTAGGAATTTGTTATATTACGAATTCTATCGCAAATAAAACGGTTTATTACTTTTTATTAAAATATATATATATATATAAACTTGCATGAATATTTTGCATTGGTGCAACGTATTACCTACGCTGATTGCTAAACTGTTAAGTTATAATATAAATATGCGATAAAATCAGTGAATTTTTTTATTTATTACGATGAATGGATACATTAGTTGTACTTGTTATTGCAGTACCTAAATACGTTTCGATATGATTGTATTCTTTAACTTTGATACTGAATTAAAAAATAAACGTTGTATAAATGTTTTGATTTCCTGTATTAGTACATTATTACACATATTTTTAAAATGTGTACATGTATTTCTAAATTTGATGAAATATATAAAATAAATGCGAGCTATTATTATTGTTTCATTGCAACGATAATAAATACTTAGAGCGTTATCAAAAATGCAAATTATTTCACATGAAACATTAAGATGTATTTTGAAATCAAATTTTGTATTTCTCTCCAATATCGCTCCGAAAAGCTTTTTCATTGACGTTCATTAGCCTCTTATTGTTTGAAGTCTAATAAAAACATTTTAATAGACCCTCCGTTAAAAGTTCCATCATCTTCAAAGGACTAATGTTTTTTACATTTAAAACATTTAATATAAGACTTGATTTAATTTTAAAAGCAATAAACGTAAATAAAATAAAACAAATTTATAAATTGAAGATACGATCATAATCTTAGCTTTTTAAACTTAAATATAGCAGTATCAAATACTGAAAAAAAAAAAAAAAAAAAGTTATGTAGATCTAGATTCATCCTCATAATCGTGAATCCAATAAACTGAAAAAAGTTGCTTTTCATTATTTTTATATTTTCAAAACAATGATTAATTTAAAGGAAAAAGGGCACAGAACCCCTAGTAATGTTGTGTACACAAGAAATTTCTTGGCCCGCCGTCGCGTGATTATCGGACCGTTTGGTTGGTATGTTTGTATGGAGTTGTTACTTAAGCAAGTTGAGGTTGTAGGGTAGCTCGTTTTCGTCCAATTGTTATGTTTGAGAAAGCTACTGTAGCAAACTGTACTATACTGAATTGGATGAAAGTTCAATATGCTCATTAATTTCATAAAAGTCAAGTCGCTAATTCTATAATGGAATTTTAACTGTTTATTGCCCACTTTATGGTATTATTGGATGAATAGTTATTCATTAGATTTATTGTGTGTCAATTTGCATCTTTTTATTCATTGTTGAGTTTCTTATTGTCAGGCTTACAACAAGGGTGGATTTTCTGAGTGAAAGCACCTTGTGAATGCTAGAATGCGATTCTTAAATATTTCCTTCGCCTTTGAATTGATGATGGTTTTTGGACATTGTACCAGAATCTGCACCTTCCATTGAGTGTTCCCGTTATAAAGTAGAGTAGAAGCCTACGTATGTACTGTTAGGCATTGATATTAGGGCATAGTCCACCACTGGGCACGAGAACCTACTGCGGATTGGCGAACTTATCTATACATATCTTCAAAATATATTTTTTTTCATTTTTCACACACACACGCCCCAAGGCACTGCTCATCATATCCGCAATTTATTTCGCACGTTTATACCATATATCCATAAATGTATACCCCGAGTAAAGTATTACAATTCGGTTTACACGGAGCTCCCCTAAATAGTACTTAGTTCTAATAAAAGTAAATTAGGCCTTTCGACTATGTTATGATAATTATGTGGCGGTACTGTGGCAGGGCCTCGCAGCAAAACTGTTGCAGGAATGGGCAGGCTTATCCGCTGAAGTAACATGGCCTCACATAAGACCGGCGTGAAGTGGAAGTAGTATATTTTCGTGTTCCGTCTGATGAGTGAGGTAATCGGGGCGCACTGATTTGAAAGTTGGCAAAGCATCTGCAACGCCCTAGGTATGGTAGACGTCCATGGCGACGTTCATCACTCAACATCAAGGGAACCGCTTCCTCGCGTGTCAACTTAAAAAAAAATATAAATAATGCAAGATTTATTTTTTGTGACAAAGTGGCATACGACCTGGCGGTTTACCTGATGTTAAGTGATAGCCGCCGCCCATGGACATTTGAAATACCCGTAGGGTTACAGACGCGTTGTCACCTTTTAATAAAGTGATACTACCTCACTCACCAGACGAAACGCAGAAGTGTAACTGCACTGTAAGTGTTCTAACTTCACCACCGAAAATATAGCCATTTCTTCATATTGACTTTATAATTTCTCGCACTCTTTGAGCATAGATTACAAATGAGCAGCTCGACCGGGGCCCACTTTATTAAAAGGTGGCATCGCAACTCCAACCCTATGGTTGTTGCAAATGTCAATTCGCGGCGGTTATTACTAACATCAGGTGAAACCCAAGATCGTTTGCCACCTTGTTACATAAAAAAGAAGTCGCGTAACATGCTCTGCGACTGTTTATCCCTTTCGTATACCGGTCTGATACGCTACACACGTAATAAAAGCATATAATACTTTGTTGCTCATCTTCATCTACGAAAAGTACAAGGCCAACACACAATAGTACACCGTAGCGGGGCGGTTCTCAGCGCTTCTATCCAACTATTCACACAGTCGACGGCCGGGGTCATAGTCCGCATACCGGACATTGACGGTCCGTAGCAACTGATCGCCCCATTTCAGCAAACGCACGAATGAACGAATGTCGTGGACATTTATTATAACGATCTCTGCATCCGACACATCGTTGAACAGTCTACGAACTAAAAGCGAAAACGTTAATCATCAAAGGCCAATCGCCTATAGAAGCCTATTGTTGAAATTGAGCAAAGTCGTCTCCGACTCAACACTTGCACGTATCCATCGAAGGGACTAATTGCGCAGTCGACACCGCCGTGATCCAATAATTCGTCTTGCGGAATTATAACGCTTCGGGCCCCAGTCGGGCGTCGGCAATTACGTTTAATGAATTACGCCGGAACGTCTAGCATTCGATTGCTTACTGGCCGCCCA